CTTCGCTGTCACCGACGTTGACGACTTTGTTGTCTAAGCTGGGTGAGTGCAAGGTCTCCTGGATGATAGTTCGGTGCTGTCCAGGCCTTTTGGTACTAGCGAGCTTTGATAGGAGGTCAGCTTAGGTATTTTGTTCTCGGGGCACATGCTGTATGGCGAACTCGTCAAAGGACGAGATCTGGTGGGATGCGACGTGCAAATACCGCTGTAGAAGAGTGTTTTGCCTGGTACGTCCCACTAAGTTGCTCTACCATGAGCTTCGAGTTGCTGTTGCAACTCACTCTTCAAGCTCCAAGGTCGCGGGCTAGCCTCAGTCCTGCGAGGAGTGCCTCGTACTCCGCCCGGTTGTTGGTCACCTTGAAGCTAAACTTGAGGGATTGCTCCAAGGTGACTTGGTTTGGCCCTTCCAATATGATACCTGCCCCACCACCTTTAGAGTTGGAGGACCTGTCAATGTGTAAAGTCAATACCTGAGGTTCCTCGGCGGTAGTAGGCGTGAGCTCGGCTACGAAGTCGGCCAGGCATTGGGCTTTCAGGGGTCCACGACTTTCGTACTGGATACCAAACTTAGACAATTCTACTGACCACGCAATCATCTGTTCGGCGAGCTCAGGCTTTCGCAGGATTTGCTTGATAGGGTAGTCAGTTTTGACTACCACCTGGTGACTCTGGAAGTAGGGTCGGAGACGCCGAGCTGCGTTGACAAGTGCTAGTGCCAGCTTCTCGATCATTTGGTACCGCTTCTCCGCGTCTTGGAGGACTCGACTGATGAAGGAGATTGGTGTCTACACTTTTTGGTGCTATTGTACTATTACTGCGCTGATAGCGCTTTCTGCCACGGCCAAGTAGAGGAGGAGGTCAGTTTTGTGATCCGGCCTCTGTAGGATCGGCGGAGTCGTGAGGAAGGTTTTGAAGCTTCGAAAAGCTTCTTCACACTGATCCGTCCACTGAAAGTCTTTTGGCTTCCGTAGCAGCGTGAAGATCGGTCCGGCCTTCTCCGCAAGTTTGGGGATGAAACGGGACAGTGAGACTAACCACCCGGCTAGTCGTTGGACCTCTTTTACCGTTTGCGGACTTTGCATCTGGATGATGGCTTTACATTTCTCGGGGTTGGCCTTGATTCCTCTGCTAGTGATCATGAAGCCGAGGAACTTTCCTCCCTGGACGCCGAAGACGCACTTGTAGACACCCAATTTCGTCCGGGGGGCATACAAACAAGATAGGACATCATAGGGCCCAAAAACCCAAATTAACTTTTTTTAGTGGCTCGGAACGGGCCGTTCTCGAATTGGAACGAGCCGTTCCAAGG